GTGTTTTTGTTGGTTACTCACCTGTTCAAAAAGGGTATAGATGTTATGACCCTTCTCTTAGAAAAATACATGTTACTCTTGATGTTTCCTTTAGAGAATCCGAACCATTCTATTCAGGGGGAGATTTGTCTTCTTCTCCTCAGGGGGAGATTGATTGTGGAGGAGAAGTGTCTGTCCAAATCCAGAGAAACTTACAAAATAGTCAGCCCCCTACCTTCGGACTCAATGACACAGAACAAGAGAACTCAATTCCTCAAGACTCATCAACCTTAATACCCACAGCTGAGCAACCCTCTCTGGATGTCCAAACCACTGCGCAACCGATGGAAACTGAGGTAATTTCTGACCCAAACACTTGTGCATTTCATCCTTCTAGTCCCATACAGCCTGCTCCTAGTTTAAGGAGGTCAGAAAGAACTACAGAAGGTATTCCAAAAAAATTATATGAACCTGATCCACATTCCACAGTAAAATATCCAATTGGAAATTATGTGTCAACAAGGAAGCTATCCAAATCATATGCATTAGCTACTAACCAATTATCTAGTATATGTATTCCTACAAGTGTGCAGGATGCAATGGCTGACCCCGAATGGAAGAAGGCTATGGAGATTGAAATGGAAGCCCTTGTAAAAAATTCTACTTGGGATATAGTCCAACTACCTACTGGAAAAAGGAGTATAGGATGCAAATGGGTTTTTACCTTGAAGCTTAAGTCAGATGGCAGCTTGGATAGATATAAAGCAAGGTTGGTAGCAAAGGGGTACACTCAAAAGCTTGGAATTGACTACCAGGAAACTTTTGCTCCTGTAGCCAAATTAAATACCATCAGAATTCTTATATCCATAGCAGCTCATAAAGATTGGCCCTTAAAACAATTTGACGTGAAGAATGCCTTCCTTAACGGAGACTTGGAAGAAGAAGTCTACATGGATATTCCTCCAGGCATGAGTTGCGGTCCCTTGAAGGAAACCTTGGTATGCAAATTGAAAAAAGCTCTGTATGGACTGAAGCAGTCCCCAAGAGCCTGGTTTGGGAGGTTCTCACTTGCTATGAAGAAATTTGGATACAAACAGAGCAACTCTGATCACACCATGTTTATCAAACGGCAGAACAGCAAGGTATCAATATTAATTGTGTATGTTGATGACATTGTGTTGACTGGTGATGATATAGAAGAGATGCAAGCCTTGGAAGGACAGCTAGCAAGAGAATTCGAAATGAAAAACTTGGGGCAATTGAAGTATTTTTTAGGCATTGAAGTAGCCAAATCTGATCAAGGTATATGCTTATCTCAAAGAAAATATACTCTTGACTTATTGAATGAAACTGGTATGTTAGCTTGTAAACCAGTAGACACTCCAATAGAAATGAATCACACTCTTGCTATTTATCCTGACCAGAATCCAACTGACATTTGTAAGTACCAAAGACTGGTTGGAAAGCTTATATATCTTTCACATACTAGACCTGACATTTCCTATGCAGTTAGTGTAGTGAGTAGGTTCATGCACTCTCCAAGTGATGCACACATGGATGCTGTTTATAGAATTCTAAGATACCTGAAAGGGACTCCTGGAAAAGGGTTGCTGTTTGCTAAAAACCGAGAAATATCTATTGAGGGGTATACTGATTCTGACTGGGCAGGAGATAAAACCACAAGACAATCAACATTCGGATATTTTACTTTTGTGGGAGGAAACTTGGTGACTTGGAGGAGTAAGAAACAAAAAGTTGTAGCAAGGTCAAGTGCTGAAGCAGAATTCAGAGGAATGGCTCATGGGATATGTGAACTATTGTGGATAAGAAATATTCTTGAAGATATTGGAATCAATCGTGATGAACCAATGAAACTTTTTTGTGACAACAAAGCTGCCATTGAAATAGCTCACAATCCTGTACAACATGATAGAACCAAGCATGTGGAGGTAGATAGACACTTCATCAAGGAGAAATTAGAGCAAAAAATCATACAACTTCCATTTGTCAAATCTGAAGAACAGGTGGCTGATGTCCTAACTAAAGCTGTATCAAGCAAAGCTTTCGGAAAAATAATTAACAAGTTGGGCATGATAAATATTCATGCACCAACTTGAGGGGGAGTGTTGAAGAATAGATTTGTTAATTGTATTTTAAATGTTTGTTGTAATCTGTTGCTATCTAATAGAGATAAGGAACATAGGATTTGGTTAGTAAAATTGTTGTTAGGTTGTTAGAGCTGTTTGTATCTTCTGTTAGTTGTTTATATTTTTTGTTTCTTAAAATTAGGAGTAGTTATTTTATTTCACTATATATAATTCCCTCAAGGCTGAGGATGAAGAATCATCAATAAATGAGAATTCAGCAATATCCATCGTATTCCTAAAATTTGACATTTAGTTTAGTTTATCTTTTAGTATTTCAGTTTATCTTATCTGTTTTTATTTTAAAGTAATTATCTTGTTTTTAAGTATGTTATTAACTTATTATATAATTTATCTCATCTCTTGAAAGGTATAAAGGATTATAAAATATGTAATTAACCAACCACAAAATAAATTAATTCATCAATTATAATTTTTTTAATTACTTCTTTGCAAATTATTTTCTAATTCTTCATTCTCTCCCCATCAAGCCTGTACAATCTTTTCCTTCTTACCTATTTTCTCTTTGTGTTTTTTTAAAATATTATAATAATTAATCAACACCAATGGGAAGAGGCTAAGGAAGGATGTGAATATATATATATATATATATATATATATATATATATATATATATATATATATATATATATAGGGGCAGGATATTCTTACACCAGTGTAAGAATTAGAAGTCTTACACTCAATCTTGGTCATTGATCCACTTGTATCCAATGACTCACATTACTAAAAAATTAGAGCCCTTAGATATTATATATATATATATATATATATATATATATATATATATGGACAGGATATTCTTACACCAGTGTAAGAGTTAGAAGTCTTACACTCAATCTTGATCATTGATCCACTTGTATCTAATGACTCACATTACTAAAAAATTAGAGCCCTTAGATATAAGTGGGATTAATGGACAAGATTGAGAGTGTAACTTACTCTGGTGTAAAATGATCCTGACCATATATATATATATATATATATATATATATATATATATATATATATATATATATATATATATATATATATATGGGCAGGACCCTTTGACACTGATATCAAACTTTAAAATTTGATATCAAATTCTAATCGTTAATTTTCGTCAATCAATTATTATTATCTATTGGGAATCAAATTTATTAATGAATTATTAATTTTAATAAATAATAATTATTAATTGGCAAAAATCAACCGTTAGAATTTGACGTCAAATTTTAAAGTTTGACACTATTGATAATAATTAAGTAAGAATTCTCGGCCACTAATATTGCTACTTGACACTATTATCTAATAAATATATACTTAAAAGAAAAAAGCATAGAGTTATATAAATTATTTAAAATGTTCATTAAATAATTTTTTAATAAATTTATAATTTATTACATATTTTATCATAATTTTTATTTTTTAAATATATAATTATCACTTTATATTTTTTTAGCATTCCCCTAGTTAAAAACATCTGAAAATCATATTTTCTCTTCTTCTTTTTTTCATATATCCTATTTTTACGTATTTGTTTTGTGCAATATGCAACAGAAATTCCACATTTTTTTCCTTTTCCTATAAAAATAAAAGTAGCTGTGAGTTATGGATAATTGGATATTGACAGTTATTAATTTTTTTTTATAGCCTTGACAGTTATTATTTTTTTTTGAAAATATTTCAATCGGTTTATCGTTTCGCAACTAATTCGATTCGGGGCGGGTCCAGGATTAAGACTTTAAACCCCTCCCAAAGTTGGTACTGGGAGGATTCGAACACATGCTATCTCTCTCTACCTGCTCAACTCTCATGCACCAACTGAGCTATCACTATTTGATTCACCGTTATTATTTTAACTCAGCTTGTTTAACACAAAGCAGAGTGACAGCATTTGACTTGGACTTATTGCTTACCTGTCTTCTCACCATAGATTCCATTGAAAGGAAGTAATTAAAAAATATATATAATTGTTCAATTAATTTATTTCGCGATTGGGTGAATGATTAGATATTTTATAATGGTTTATATGTTTGAAGAGATGAGATGAATTATAAATAACATAATTATTCATAAGATAAGATAATTAATTTAAACATAAAAAATTAATAAGATAAACTTAAGTAATAAAATATGGGATAATTTATATTTTACTATTATTTTTTTTTTATTTTTTTGATAACAACTATTATTTTTTCTTATTGTCTCTTACTACTAATTTTATTATTATTATATCAAAATTAAATCAATGATTATAAAGCAACATCAAGTAAGAATCGATGATTTATTTTGATCCAATAATAAAAAAATTAATAATAAAAAGTAATAAAAACAAAAGGTAATAAATATAATCTCCTTCCATGAAATATAAGAAAGAGAAAAATATTTCTGCAGAGATAAGTTATCTGTATTTATTCTCAAAACGACGTCGTTTTGATATTGAAATCTTAAAAAATTATAAATATAAAGACTATTATAACTCTGAAATAAATTAAAATTACAAAAATACCATAATTTTCATCTCAAAACGACGTCGTATTGACTTACTGCAGATAATTTATCCGCAGTAACCGAAGAAAAAATGAACCGTATAAGAAAATATGTTTCTCTGTGAAACAATAGGCAAAATGTGAGTGAGGTTCATTTATTTATTTTTTCTCTTCTTTTTAATAAATCTCATTAAATTTTTTATTTTTTGTGTGTTGTATCAATCAATCGAATCAATCATGAAAAATATAATTTAGAGTAGTATAGAAAAGAAAGTAATATTTATCAATTTAAATTAGCACGTATGAGATAATAAACATGATCCCCTAATTAAAATATAAACAAACTAAACTAGTAAAAGATAATCAAACTAATAAGAATTGGGTTGTTACACATATAGTTTAAACATGATCATGTATATAAATACTACCTTGCTTCTCTTCTTCCTTCTCACAGTACGCACTTCAAATCTTTGCGCGTGCTTCTTGAAACAGGTTCCGTACAAACACTGTACGGTTTTCCCTCTAAAGTGTAACGGCTTCTGTACTTTCCGTTTTTGCACAAAAGGGCGCTGTCGCAGACACAGGGATGGAGAAAGAGTGCCCGACGACGAAGGACGAGGCTTCAGCAGGTGTCGTTTTGTTCGGGAAATACGAGATAGTGAAGTTGCTGGGCGTTGGCGGGTTCGCGAAGGTGTACCACGCGCGGAACGTGAACACGATGGAGAGCGTGGCGGTGAAGGCCGTGAGCAAACGCAAGGTCCAGAAAAACGGTTACATGGCGCACGTTGAGCGCGAAGTCTCTATCATGCGCCGACTGCGCCACCCGCACACTGTGGAACTCTTCGAGGTCCTCGCAACCAAGACTAAGATCTACTTCGTCATGGAGTTTGCATCCGGCGGCGACCTCTTCGGAGTTATGGCCGCCGAGGGACGCTTCACGGAGGATCTCAGCCGGAGATATTTCCGGCAGCTCATCTCCGCCGTCAAGCACTGCCACTCCCGCGGTGTCTTCCACCGCGACCTCAAGCTCGACAACATCCTCGTCGACGAAAACAAGAACATCAAAGTGTCGGATTTCGGGTTGGGCTCAATTAAGGACCCGACCCGACCCGAAGGTTTGCTCCATACAGTTTGTGGGACCCCTGCCTACGTGGCACCTGAGATCCTCGCTAGGAAGGGCTATGATGGTGCGACGGTGGATGTGTGGTCTTGCGGCGTCGTTTTGTTCGTACTCACCGCTGGGTATTTGCCCTTCAATGATTACAATATTACGGTTTTGTACAGGAAGATCTATAGAGGACAGTTCCGGTTCCCGAAATGGACATCGAATGAACTGAGGAACCTCTTATCGAGGTTGTTGGACACAAACCCAAATACGAGAATAACCGTTGATGAGATCATGCGGGACCCATGGTTCTGTCATGGCGGGTATAAGGACACATGGGTCGGGTCGGACCCTGAACGGGAGAAGAATTATCAGGCTGTGACTAAGAGATTGAACGCGTTTGATTTGATATCTTTTTCATCCGGGTTGGACATGTCGGGTTTATTTACTGACCCGGAACATTCGGATTGCACTGAACGGTTTGTCACGGAGAAGTTGCCGCAGAAGGTGGTGGAGATGGTGGAGGAGGTGGCGGAGATGGAAAGACTAGTGAGAGTGATAAAGGGTGGTGAGAGCGGTTGTGGAGGAGTGAGGCTAGAGGGGTTGAATGGTAATTTTGGAATTGTTGTTCGGGTTTACCGGTTAACGGATGAGCTTTATGTGATTGAAGTGAAGAGAAGTGAGAGAGGAGTGGCAATTGGTGAACGGTTTTGGAGAGATGCTTTAAAGCCACGGCTTCTTGCATTGGCTCTTAAACCGGATGTGCCTGTCTCCCGGTGACTTCAGAATGGATTTATGGTAAATAGTTTTATTTATTTATTTTTACAATAAAATTAGTTTTATTTTACATTTGTAACTACTGATTGCATCAATGATCGGTCATATGACACAATAATACCAACAATAAACATTATATTACATTATTCTTACTCTTTTTTTTTTGTTGTTAAATTTAATCTTCCTTGACAGAAAGGAAGGAAAAAAAAAAACAGTATCGACTGTTTAAAAAGTGAGAGTTTATTTATTTATTTATTTCATTTGGTGACAAAGTAATAGGCTGCTGAGGTTTTACGTGAGATGTAAGACAATTTTGGCAGCATGCAGATGCACTGATGCAGCATGCTTTTACTTACCAATTAGGGTGGTTAAAGGAAAAGGGTCCACTTGCAACATGTTTAATGTATGCCTATACTCTTATACCACTTCATGAAGTACTCATGAACTTTATGAAAATTAACTAGATGCGCATTGATTAATAATTTGATAATTGGAGCACTAACTTCTAAATGAGACACAAACAATATTCTTCGATTTATTTATTTTGTTAAAAAAGTAAACCCTCAATATGATGTAATGAAAAGGGAATATATAATAAGAAAGCCGGATGGAACAACAAGCTGATATGGGAAACGAACATATCAAGCGAAGAACTTTTGGATCAACTGTGTGAAGTTTTTTGTTTAGAATTATTTTGAAAGGTATTTTTTTTTTTTTTTTGGTAAACTTTGAAAGGTATATTTTATTTGTCTTTTTGTGTAACAACTCATTTTAATTTTAATTTTTTTTCCTATCATCATTTAAAGTACTTCAATAATTGAGTCAAACATTTTTGAAAACGTGCATTAATTACATTGAGTATAACGATTACCAAAGGTACTTTCCTTTCGGTTTCCTAACAATTTGGCCAAAAGCTGGAGTTGCACCAAATTGCATAATTAATTTCAAAGAAAATTTATTTGTATTCATTTAATTCATGACTCTATCAAAATTCAACCTTAAAACTTTATCTTATTTTGTCTGATCTTGTATCAAAACAAAGTTTATAATTTTATATTAGCAGTTGAGGTGGAGAGTGGTCTGGCCAGCGACAACACTGATTAGCGACGGTTCTATATATGTACAAACACTGAACAATTTGATAGCATATCACATGATACAGCTAATATAACACAAGCTTATCAAGTATGAATTATCTTAAGAAATCAATGCACGTGTTGATATCCTCATCTATTGAATTATATCTGAAGCGAAGGGAATAATTACTTATCATATAAGCAACTTGCAAAAGCAAATTCAACTTGGAATTTTCTTAGAAGCAACTTGCAAAAGCAACAAATGTTAGACGCAAGTTTTGACGAGACATAGAATTCTAGAAGACAAAAGGTCTAAAAAGCATAACCACCCCTCTTTAACCAATGCGGAAGAAAAGGTAGGTGTACTGTACGTTTCATGCATAATCTGTACTACATGCAATGTACCACTACTCCACTAGTATCAAAGATTCAAAATTGGACTGGACCGGCCAGTTCAACCGGTTAACTCGAAAATTAGACCACCAACCGATTTAATTGGGATTAAACCGGGTCTGTTTAACCGAAGAGCAGATTTTTAATTTTTTGATAAAATGTGGATTCAAATCACGGAAAGAGGACTCTACCAACACTTCATTTACCTCTGTTCCAATGTTATTTATTATTCATTTTGCAACAATTATTTTATTTATTTCATATTAAAATATGATTTTAGTTTAACTGGTGACACATTAACCTAGTATCTTGATTGGGTCATTCACGGGTTTGAGTTTAATAATATTAATTTAAACAACAATAGCCCACTTAACCAGCAAATAATTCATTTAATCGGCAAATAACAGAATATTCTTCAAAATGATGCCTGCTTCATAACAAATATGTGACAGTTATTACATGGCTTAATAGTCACATAAATAATACATTCATCAAAATACCTAATCCAAATATCAAATTAATAGTAAAATTATGTTAGAATTTCCAATACAACATATACAACTCTAAACTAATTATCAATCTTATAATACAAGTCTAAATTGAATGCCCACTCCATTAATTTGTGGTTCAGTTTCCATCGGAATAGTTTTCGAAATTAAAACTAAAATCAATCCAATTAATTTTTTTCATTTTCTAGCTGATCGAGTTTTATTTTCTCAATTTTAATCTACTTAGTTAGGTTTTACATATGTCTAGACATTGAACGTATGCCATAGGCCCAAGAGGGGTGTGGATTGTCTGTCGCCCTTTCCTAAACTTTTTTTTTTTGGTACCCTGAAGGGATAGAAAACCCCCACAAGACAAGACTAACTAGGCCCAATACAATGAGATCGACAAACCCACCCAAATCAGCTAAATACAAGAAATAAATTCCCGCAAGAGGGGAAAGGAAAATACAAAAATCATCCATCTCTGGATTCAACAGAAGGAAGTTAGCCAACCAATCTGCACAGCAATTTCCTTCTCTGTACGAGTGTTTAATAACAACAGACCACTCTCTATTCATCCAAGCCCGTATACGAGTAACAATATGATACTCACAGGCTGGCTTACTCCTTGCAGTAAGCCACGTGACCGCTGTTGCAGAGTCACTTTCAATAACCAATTTCCTCCAGCCATTGTCCCAAGCCATTTGAATACCTTTCAAGATACCCCATAATTCTGCCATAATAGCATTACAATGACCAATTCTGTAAGAGAAATCAGATAGCCATTGACCAGAACTATCTCGAAACACGCCCTCATAGGCAGCCAGACCCGGGTTCCCTTTCGTAACTTTTTTTTTTATTATTGCTATTATAAGTACAAAATATTCTTTTTGTAATTTTTGTAATAATAATAAATTAGTTCCTCCCTAAAAAATTCTTCTAATACTTAGTCTATTTTATCTTATAACTTTAATATTTTGTTTTTACCCCTATTATAAAAAATTCTAAATCCGCCACTGGGCAATGGTGCTTCTTCCACGTTTGGAAAATTTCATACTTAAATGGTCTATCACCCAAGTTTTTCTATTACTACTTATGGCCACAAAATTTTAATTTTAATTTTGCTGCAAAATATCTTTGATGTAGTCGCATACTACATATTTTCATCACTAGGAACATTGGCTCCAGAAAAATTGTCATAAGGAAGCTCTATGACTACATTAAATCTTCTAATGTTGCCACCAAAAGTTTCATCAACATGTATATTATGTTAGCTTCTCCTATTTCGACAATGGGAGCTTCCACTAGAGAAACCAAAATACCTTTCACTCTTGTTTGCTCCACTATACTTATCTTCCTGTTGCTCTGAATGGTGCGTGATAACTCGTTCTTTATTAATTTTTGTCTACTCAAAAGTCTTACCCTTTATCACGTTGATGTTCTTATGAATTCTTTTGTTTAATTTCAAAAACTTCATGTATATTGCTACAGTTCGTGATCACAATAATGAATTTTCCTATTTTTATTTCTCAGTTTATTAGGGGATTGTTCTGCTTCACATTTTCTCTAAACTAAAAAACAAACAAATAAATAAAAAGATTCCGACCTACCGGATTCGAACCAGTGACCTAAGGATATCCATTTGATTTTCACCAACTACAGTCCTCCGCTCTACCAACTGAGCTAAGGTCGGTTTGAAGTTATGTTGCAAATAATTTATTTTAGTACTTTATTTATTTATTTTTCGTACGTATAGCTGTTTTCAGTATTGCAATTGTAAATGCCAAAAGAGAGTTATATGAGCACTTCCTTCTGTATATGTGATGAAAATGTGCCTATCAGTAAACTTTCAATGAAAATCTTAAAATTAGTAGTGTCTTAAAATACCTTTAAAACTAAGTTACTCATTAAAAAAAGTAGGGAAAATTTCACCAATTCAAGCGTGATTTACTCCAGAATCAATTATGTCCCAATGGTCTTATTTTATTATATATGCCCCTATGATTTGCAAAAAGATATTTTTTTTATCACATATGCCAATGTAGTTTTTTACTTTTTAAAATCACACGAGCATATGTGATAAAAAAAATCACGTAAGCATGAATGATTCTAAAGCAAACCACAACTGCATTGATGAAATTTTTCCAAAAAAGTAATTGGTCATTTTGTCTAATATGAAAATTAAAGTTTTTTTGAAAGACTTTGTAATCAAAGTAATTGAAACTCCATGTGTTCTAGGTGAGAATCTTATCAGGTTTTTTTAGTGGGTTTTGAATGAGAAATCATTTAAGGTCACCACCCTTGTTGTGGAATCCCTTGTTTTTGCAATATGTTGCAGTGGTAGTGGTCTAAGGAAGAAAGAAATCTACTGTCTTTGGGACTTGGTTATGGATATTGGTGAGAAAGAGAACAATGGGGTATACTCAATGTTAGGATTCTCAATGAATTAATAGTTTCCTACAGTATTGAAGCTCTTTGTTATAGCGATCAGCATTTGATATGCACAAAGCCTGCCTGATGGTGAGAAAGTAGGTAAATATTATCTTGGTTTTGTAAAGGCAAAATGGCTAAAGAAGCCCATGCAGTGTATATGGAAGCAATAGAGAAAGGGAAATTAGTTCCATCTATGTCTTCTATAAACTTTTTGGTTGCTAAACTTGTCAAGAAAATAAACTGTGCAATTAGCTTTGGAGATGTTGAATGATATCCCTAGGGAGAGGAGGAAACATGCAATAAAGCCATTTTCGGCTTTTGTTTGAGCCTTGTGTAGGATTAAAGATGTTGATGCAGCCAAACAGTTAATCTTAAAATGATTGCAGATGGTCCACCTCTTGGAAATACTGTTTTTCAATTTTATTATTATGGCCTATTCCAAAGCTGGGGAAATGGGACAAGCTATGGAGGTGATAAAACTAATGGAAAGTAGAGGTTTAAAACCAGATGTGTAAATGTATACTGTTCTTATTAGTGTTTATTCAAATGGTGGTGAGATGGAAGAGGCTAGGATGATCTTGGCAGAAGCTAAAAAGAAGCATTTTGAGTTAAACCCTGTTAGGTATCACATACTTATACTTGGATATTGCAAATTAGAACAGTTTGATAAGGCTTTGAAATTATTGATTGAAGTGTAGGATTTTGGTGTCTACCCCGGTGTTGATGAATATGAGAAGTTGATCCATTCTCTCTGCTTGAAGGCTTAGGATAGGGCCCTGCTTAGAGCTATCAAGGGGATGGAAAATGAGGTTGTGGAGACTGAATGCAGTTAGTTCAGAGGTCTAAACTTTCTTGGCTCTTTAAGGTGGTGTGACATTAATGCAAGAGGCCTTGTATTTGTAAGTTTTTTCTGACACCAAATTTTAATAGTATGTTACAATCTTAATGCACAAATAATCGAGAGGAAAATTTTTCAGAAATGATTGTTGATGTGTTTAATGTTTTTGACCAGCCTTTCTTTGCTGTATTGAATTAAGTTGGTCATGTTTCATATCCTTCCTTTTCCATAATGATGTCATTAGCATGCAGTGTCTTAATTTTTTATATATGGTGATTTCTTTTTTCTTTCTTGTGGAATTGGGTTGGGTTGGATAAGAATTAGTATGTCTGATTCCCCCTTCAGACCCATACAAACAGACACACCGAGAAGACGAAAGAAAGGTGCTGTTTACCAACTGAATTATTGGTGTATTTTATAGGAATAGGGCTTTATACAATTGTGCAAGGCTTCTCATATTTGCTGTTTTTGCTAGCATTTTCTTTGAATGAGTAGGTGGTATCTAGATTAATTTGTGATACTTAATTCTGTAGAGTCTTTGATTGCTAACCGGGAACATGATTATAATAGTACTTAACTTTTAGTTGTTCCTTACATATGATGTAACAATCTATGTTGTATAGTGTTACTTACTTCTCTACCATGAAGTGACAGTCACTGACAGCCCACATTATTTTGGCTATATCTTGAGCTAAACTAGTTGGATTTGAGAACCATCTTTTTTGCTAGGAAACTAAGATGCTACTTTAAATGTATAGCATTCATCTTTTTATTAGTTTCCATTTGGAATTGATACACGATTTTATTTGAAATCATGACAGATTTATGATACTCAGTTTCATTTTTAAGCAAACTCCATTAGGATCAACTTGTTTACCCTATATCACATTGAATTCAGTTCAACGTTAGTTTCATTTCAAGCATTAAATTTAGGGTAAAATGTGTCATTTTTAAATGATGTAAAGTTGTGTCATTTTAAAAGAGAGAAAGAGATAGATAAAGGAGGAGAGAGAGTTGACAAAAAAAATAAAGGTATGGGTCCCACCTCTTTGTAAGAGTAAAAGGATATAAGTTGTGTCATTTAAAAGGATAAACACTTATATAAACAGTGCTCGATATGTTAGGGGAAGTTTTACGGTGAGGAACAAAGCATATCTTTCCTTTGCAAGGTGATTCTCAGTATAAAAAAACAAGACATGATGTGAAGATTTGTAGGGAGACTTTAAATGTGATTATAGTTCTAGTTTGGAATAGAAATTGCTTAAGTCTTTTCTTATATTCATGCTGTATTCATTATGATAGATTCTCATCTAGAGGAATATCTTTAAACATTTGGTACTGTGTTCTCTTCACATTCTAGACTGGGGAGCTAAGCCATTTGTGGTAGCTTTGTTTTGAGCCTCTTCATCCTGTTGTTTTGAGTAGAATGAGCTCCTTAAACAATTGAAGGAGGATGGATTGTTTAATGTCCTCTTCACATGTTTATAAATTTGATTGCTTTCTGCAGTTGGGATCGGAAAGCCCTTTATTAAAATTTTATATTCTAATTTATCTTATTTTTCCTCATTTAGTATGCTCGTATTATCCAGAAACTTGGTTTCCCAGCTAAATTTAAGGTACTGCTTCTACTCTTCCTCATTATCTTTGCTGAATTTTTTACATCTACTATTGTTTATTTGCTCTTTTTTCTATGCTCAACCTAAATAGTGCTTGGTTAATAGTTGATTTGTATGTTATTCTTCAGGACTTCAAGATTCAGAACATTGTTGGCTCTTGTGATGTTAAGTTCCCTATACGGTTAGAGGGTCTTGCATATTCCCATGGTGCTTTCTCAAGCGTAAGATATTTATTTATTCTTTAAATAATTCTTAGGTTTGGGTTGGGCTTCCAATGACTTTCACATTAAAAATATATTTTATTTCATAATTAATGTTGGACAATCATGTCGTGATTTTCGTGATCGTCTAATATAATTTATTTGGTGTTTTCTTGAATTATATATCTGATGTGAAATATTCAATAGTAAAACTGTATTTTGTTTCGAGGGCTCTGTTTTAAAGTATGGAAAACATTGATTTGACTGATTCTTAATTATAGATGCAAAACCAAAACTAATGTACATGGCAGCCAATTTAATTTTCATTGGAAAGAAGCTGCTTTGGTCCTACTAAATTCTTCCCCAAACATTGGAGATACTTACATTTTTAAAAGATTTTTATTGAGAATTAAAATGGAGGGAAATGGTGAAACTTAACGAGTAGTATTATAAATCACGATGCTTGTGTGGTAATGAAGCATAGATGAATGATGGAAAGGGCCATCTTAAGTTGTGTCTCTGCATGAGCAATTAGATTCCTCATGTCTTTTTTATTTATTTGCTTTAAAGTTTAGGAATTGAGGAAAATGGTGGATTTATGTTGAACTTGTTTGTGGTGGCAGTATGAACCAGAGCTATTTCCGGGTCTAATCTACCGAATGAAGCAGCCTAAGATAGTTTTGCTTATATTTGTCTCTGGAAAAATTGTTCTAACAGGAGCCAAGGTAATAAATATTCTTGCTTATGATTCCTTCCCCCTTATAATTTTTTTCTTTTAAAACATTTTGGGTTCACTGGATTTTTTATATTTGTTTCGTTTCCATCTTTTAGGTGAGAGATGAGACTTACACAGCTTTTGAGAACATATATCCTGTGCTTACTGAGTTCAGGAAAAATCAACAATGGTATGGACATGGCTTTATGCATTTAGCTCTTTTTTTGCCAACACTTTTATTTTGTTTGTCCACTCTCTCTCCTACTTTATGTATCTCTTTCTCTCACTTAAAATGACACAACTTTATATCTTTAAAGTAACACACATTTTTTTCCTTCTTATATTACTTAAATAAATATAAACACAAAAAATATTAAATAAGTTCACAAATTTTCATAAAATTTCACCTTAGTAATATTTTTATATTTATTTTTTATTTTCATAATTTTATTGACACAAAAGATCAATTTTCTTTTACGTTAGCTACTTCTAAAAAGAAAATGCATGACAAAATTTGACTTTCATCAACAAATTTTGGTTGTACCGATTGTTATACTTGGTAATCTTCGTGTAGCAACCTAATGTGTTGCCAGATATCTTAACAAGCAAGTGGTTAGCATTTTTTCTTCCCCCTTCCCATCATGATTGGTTGCAGTATTGTTGCAGGGTTTGAAGTTGTAACAAGGACTATAAGGCTGCACATGTGACGCCTATTTTGGGCGTCACATGTGACACCCAATTTGGGCGTCTCCCCTTTGGGTGAGACGTCTCAATTGAGACGTCACATGTGACGCTAAAAAAAGGCGTCATATTGTGCAGTAGATTCGTAATTATTCTCAAAATTATAATAAATACGTAATTAATTTATTAAAAAGTATTATATTAATTTTTGTGCCCCACATTTCCTACCAATATGTCATTGACCATTCTCTTAGGACACACCTCAACATGGAACCCAAAAAACAGTTTAAAACTTTACGAGATGCTAAACTGTCAGAACTAAGTATGTTATTTCCATCTGGCTCCCCCATTTTATTTTATTTTTTCTATTTTATTTCCCTTCTTCCTTTTCAAAATCATTTTATAATATGTCAATTCAATAGAACAGATATCCTCTCGACTTAACTACATCAAGACCCATAAAAAAAGAGACAGAACAACACAAAACTGTTGTCTTAATTTTTTATCAATCCAGATATCTCCTCTGCCTTAATATTTACAGTTCCACGAACTTCTCTTGCGAGAACACTGCTCCTGCTCTTGACAATTATCTGCCATAAACATAAAATAATCCAAAATATGGCATTAGGAGCACACAATAAGTGACAAACCCATACTGCCATATACCCCAGTCACACACAGAAACGTGCTCTAAACAACACCATGAAAAATGCTCAAAAGAAACCAAAGTTCAATTCATATTGTGAATACATCACGTGTAACATCCAACTTTTCTGTAAAAATACAATCTAGAACAGTATCTATATTGTAGATTCCGGTATCTACAGCTAATGCAGTTACAATCCTGATGGTTAAGGGAAGAAAGCAAAACAATAGCAGACACAATGACGGCAATTCATTGAAATTACAACAATCTATATACCCAATAAATAGCAAAAAAAGAGCTAAATGCATAAAGCCATGTCCATACCATTGTTGATTTTTCCTGAACTCAGTAAGCACAGGATATATGTTCTCAAAAGCTGTGTAAGTCTCATCTCTCACCTAAAAGATGGAAACGAAACAAATATAAAAAATCCAGTGAACCCAAAATGTTTTAAAAGAAAAAAATTATAAGGGGGAAGGAATCATAAGCAAGAATATTTATTACCTTGGCTCCTGTTAGAACAATTTTTCCAGAGACAAATATAAGCAAAACTATCTTAGGCTGCTTCATTCGGTAGATTAGACCCGGAAATAGCTCTGGTTCATACTGCCACCACAAATAAGTTCAACATAAATCCATCATTTCCTCAATTCCTAAACTTTAACTTAATGCAAATAAATAAAAAGACATGAGGAATCTAATTGCTCATGCAGAGACACAACTTAAGATGGCCCTTTCCATCATTCATCTATGCTTCGTTACCACACAAGCATCGTGATTTATCATACTACTCGTTAAGTTTCACCATTTCCCTCCATTTTAATTCTCAATAAAAACCTTCTAAAAATGTAAGTACCTCCAATGTTTGGGGAAGAATTTAGTAGGACCAAAGCAGCTTCTTTCCAATGAAAATTAAATTGGCTGCCATGTACATTAGTTTTGGTTTTGCATCTATAATTAAGAATCAGTCAAATCAATGTTTTCCATACTTTAAAACAGAGCCCTCGAAACAAAATACAGTTTTACTATTGAATATTTCACATCAGATATATAATTCAAGAAAACACCAAATAAATTATATTAGACGATCACGAAAATTACGACATGATTGTCCAACATTAATTATGAAATAAAATATATTTTTAATGTGAAAGTCATTGGAAGCCCAACCCAAACCTAAGAATTATTTAAAGAATAAATAAATATCTTACGCTTGAGAAAGCACCATGGGAATATGCAAGACCCTCTAACCGTATAGGGAACTTAACATCACAAGAGCCAACAATGTTCTGAATCTTGAAGTCCTGAAGAATAACATACAAATCAACTATTAACCAAGCACTATTTAGGTTGAGCATAGAAAAAAGAGCAAATAAACAATAGTAGATGTAAAAAATTCAGCAAAGATAATGAGGAAGAGTAGAAGCAGTACCTTAAATTTAGCTGGGAAACCAAGTTTCTGGATAATACGAGCATACTAAATGAGGAAAAATAAGATAAATTAGAATATAAAATTTTAATAAAGGGCTTTCCGATCCCAACTGCAGAAAGCAATCAAATTTATAAACATGTGAAGAGGACATTAAACAATCCATCCTCCTTCAATTGTTTAAGGAGCTCATTCTACTCAAAACAACAGAATGAAGAGGCTCAAAACAAAGCTACCACAAATGGCTTAGCTCCCCAGTCTAATTACCTCCAGCTCCTCCACTTGAGAAACACCAATGACATACGCAGGATGAATGAGATTAAAAAAAGAATAGCATACCTTCCTTGCTGCCAATTTAGACTGATGCTCACTCTTAGCTCCAGTACAAACCTAGCCATACCAATTAAATTAAGACAACATTAGAAACAGAAGCCCTTTACAAGCACCATATCAAATGAATCGGTCTTGCAATAGCCTTGAGCATAAAGCAGAGAAGACAAAAAATTTATTCTGCAGCCATGGCTGTCGAACTATGAATCAGATCGCAATCGAAAGGTCTATTTCACTAATTGTGAATCAAAATGTATAGTGAATTACAGGGTTCGTGATCAATTATTAAAATAGAATAAAGTACATTTTTTGCATAATAAAACTGTAAAAATAATTATAGAAATGAAACTCGAGGTTGTTGAATCGCAAAATGTAGACTTATTTTTTATCTTGAATTATGAATTGTATCGAATCATAACATTTAGAAACATAATGAAAAATGACTTAAAACTACATAATATTGTATAAATCCAAATCATAAAAAAATCCAAAAACCAAAATCAAGAATAAATCAAGAAGAAAAAGGAAGAATTAACACGAATCAAGAATGAATGATCCCTTGGTTAAGACGAGAAAGAAAAAGAAAGAACGAAATCATAAATGAGAAAGGAAGAAATCGAATTGGAATTTGGTTGGGAATTGGGATTTTGGGAAATCCCTAATCTGCCGTGTAATAATAACTACTATTCAGATTCTACAAATTTGAATTCAGCACTTCTTTGTCGTTTCTCTTTCCAACATCATATTGGATTTTGAATCACAAATCCTTATTCGATTCGCAATACAGAACATAATCGTGTGATCCCGTGATTCAAAAAGTGATTCATGGTCAGCTCTGACTCACACGTTTGATTTGCATACTTTTTCTGTATTGGATTGTATCATGTGATACTAATTACCATAATTGAAACTGTTTCCTTATTTCCTTTATATGTACATTAATGATTGGGGTTTCTCCAATATCCCCTCTATCTCATTATACTGCATAGAAACTAGCAAGCAAAATCCTATTTTTCTTTCAGCCGCCGGTTATGTTTCTCTCTCTGCACTTCTATCTCATATCAGTAAACCTTAGATGTGTTTCACCCCATACCAATCCCACCACCCTCACTGCAGATGCCAGAGTATCTACCATCCCCAGAGCCTGACCTTTGCTAGGGCAGGCCCTGTTACCCACACCCTGACTTTTGGTTTGCTGTGTCTATTTATCTGGGTGGCAAGTTACAGGAGTTACAGCACTTTGACCTCTCCATCAATGAGATTCTGGCCACATCCATCCATCACCATATAAATTTCTCACCCTCTAGCAGCTGTTTGGCTCCCTATCCTCCAAGAATTATATAGCAGAATAGAGATTCCTATGGTTCTGGCAACAAAACAATAACCAATATGATCTGTATCTATTAGGTGAAAACTGGGCATAAAAAATCGCATGAATTGTATTGAATTCATGCAATTCTGATGACCATGTTTGCAACCTCATCACAAGAGCCTCCAATGATAAACCAGAGACAAATGAACAAATCTGAATTTTATGCAGTAACCAATTCACCCCAGTCCATCCATAGGCCTTATAAACGTAGTTAATTAAATTACAATATATAAGAAAACAACTCAATAAGAGAACCATACGACTACCAACTAACATACAACTTCACTCACTTTTTTACTTGAAGACAATGTTAGAAACAACAACAAAATATAACTCCATGACAGAAGTAGCAGGTCGAGCAAAGAAGCTTACCATCTTGCCAGAAGCAAAAATAAGTGCAGTTGTTTTTGGTTCTCTGATCCTCATAATGACAGCAGCAAAACGCTGCAAAGAATCACACCACAAACATCAGCTCAGCATACAAATGACCAACTAGAACGAGCATATATATTATATAGGCTGATTATTTATTTTGAATAACAGAAGAGTAGTGACAAGTAGCTGATATCAAAAGTGATATTGATATAAAATATTAGTCTTAGATCAACCAAGCTTCTCTAGAGCAGATAAAAATGCAATAATTTTCAAAAAGCAGGATACATGACATCATAACTGTACAACACCAAGTTAACCTTCATCGTACTTCCAAAGCAAAGGAAAAAGGAAAAAGCGCACAATGCACATGTGCAATTGTGCACATGCATGTATATGAGTAAAATTCAATATCAGCGAAAGAAACTTGCCTTGGGATTGTACTCTGCATTACGAGCTTGGAGTGCAATTGTTTTAAGGTCCAATTTACAGTCCAAATTGACTGTTGACACAATATTTCTGGCAGTACAAACGGCTTGATTATTAGATTATAACAATGTAAATAGAAGAAAATTCATTAGATATGCCAATGTAAATAGAAGCATATTTATTACATATTCCAAAGTGAATATAAATAGAAGTAAATTCATTAGATATGCCAACGTAAATAGAAGCATATTTATTACATATTCCAAAGTGAATATAAATAGAAAAAAAATTATTAGATATTTCGACATAAATTGAAGTGAAGGTTATCAATCCAAAGTAGTTAACAACAGAACTAGGTATGATACGGTCATACGACCACCGGACGGCATGACATGTAAAATCCTTTATCAGAAAGTGGTCAAGGGATACAAAAAGATCCACTAATTGGACTTAACAGGTGATTTAAGTTCAGGTGGGGGGGAGGGGAGGGGGGTAATATAGAGATTGTATTGTATCTATGTGACGAGCCATGATCGCGGCATGAGGCGCCTCTCCACTACAACACATTCACACACAGATATATCCATCTAGAAAACGAAGCAGCAGATGGAAAGTGGTCGGTCCAATACATTTTGCCATCTTATTAGGCACAGCATCACAATAAATTGGTTTAAATATAAACACATTCCTTTAAGAAACATACAAAGCAAATTTCACCAATATGGATAATCTATATAGGAAGATAAATACATGCTACACTCAATAGGACAAAGTAGCGACTAAACCCTGCTATACTAAATTTTTAAATGCATCGACAAATCTGGAAAAGAGGACAGACCAGCTATATGTAAATTCAAGCATAACTGCTGGGGATTAACAGTATCCATCTTTTATTTCATGGGTACCAGTACCAAGCGTGATTTGTCATATATTTATTGGTTGTTGGTCATACTTATTGTACTTCCAAAAATACTTTTTGTTATTACTCACAGGAAGGTTATACTTATAACCTCATTTCCTTTATAACTACTTTTATCATAATTGGATCAAAATCAAATCAACGATTACAAAATAACATTAAGTGAGAGCCGTTAATTTGATTTTGATCCAACAATTATAAAAGTGATGGTATGGGAAAAGAGATTGTAAGTATAACATCTCCCTTATTTATAAGTTGAATTCTCAATACTATCATCATACATGTTAGAAGAAACGACAACATGGGGAATCACTTCAATTGGATACTAACAACAACAGTTCACTTCCTATTATTCCATGAAGCAAGTAAAATGTAATAGTTATCCATCTGATGCTTATAACCAGTAAAGGAGGAAGCACATGATATTAAAAATAATAATAAAAATAAAAAATTGGATACTCACTGAAGGGTAGGCACGATCCCAGAAGGGTGCTTCTGTAGATCTACCGGTTGGCTACCTTCCAGTCCTTGGTCAGCCATGAATCCTAAATATTATATCTAATCAACAAAACCAGAATGTTCCACATTAATTAGTACACCCCAAACAATAAGGTGCATTTTTTTTTTCTTTACATGAAAAGCAACATAAAAATAAAATTTAAAAAGGAACCCAAACCCAGATCTTAAAAGTTAAAAAGAACATAACTGTTGGGAGAAATTTTTTTCATGCGATCAATAGAATTCTTGTTTTTTTTTTATTTAAATTATTTCTTTATTTAAAAAGTAAAAGATGAATTGGGGATTTAAATACGACTATTTAGATCACACGCAGTTGCAAGAATCATCAGACCTTGCAAAAAATCAATTAGGGGTTTTGATCTGTGAACGAGGAGAATTGAATTAGGGTTTTTTTTATCGTTGATCGAGGAAGATAAGAAAAAGGACAAAAAAAAAGCAAATTAAAGAGTGAGAAGAGTGGGGAACGAGCGGGAAGATTTCGAAAGAAGGGTTCTTTTATAGACGAAGATATGAAATTTGTATGTGAATTTGTGAGGCATATAAGAGAGAGAGAGAGAGAGAGAGTGCTTTGTCCAGAGAATTTGAAGCTGAGAGATATAAAGAGAGAGAGAGAAAGGGAAAGAGGGTTATGCTGTGTGCGGAAAGATCTGGAGCATATAGCGAGAGCCAGCTGCCACCTTATATATAGAGAGAGAATTGTAGCCAATAGTGAAATGCCACGTAATAAATTGACTTGGTTGGGCTTAGAGAAAAAGTGGACATGGGCCTTTTTGTGTCAAGACTCAAAGAGATGGATTGCGCCTCTTTTTCTTCTTCTTTTTCTTTTTTAATAAAAGGAACTTAATTATTAAGAGTTTTTTTTTTTTGGTAAACAATTATTAAGGGTGTGTTTGATATAGGTTTTATTTTGGGTTTGATGGGCAATTGTGGGTAGGCATTGGTGTATACTATGTTTGGTACAAGTTATTGAAAAAAAAATACTAAGCAACTTAGAAGGATAGGAAACATGGTTTGTGTTGGTTTTTGGCACAATAACACTATTCCAAAATACACCATGAGATGTGGTATTTTGGATATGGACGGGGAAGTGAAAAATGGTGTAATGAAAAATTTCCACAATAATATTGTTGCAAATATTTCTCCGGTAATATTTCGGTCAACCAAACATCTTTTTTTAAATTTTTCTATCAAACTTGTTTTCCTACCATTTCTCTAGTAATTGCATTTTCCCATTTTCCTGGTAAAAAAAATTTTCTCCTCTACAAAACGCCCCCTAAGAGATTTAAAACGGGAAGAGATGTGGTCATCTATTATGCACGACACTTCAAAAATTTGGTGTATTGTGTCTCACAATTTTTGATACTCAATGACACTTCAACACACATGTTACAAATTCAAAAAAGGGTTCAAAGGTTACGTTTGTGTTGCGTTTTTTACTTCTAACTATTAGATTCGTTGGATGACCATTACCATTTTATTGAACTTAATATAAATATTTGGGATATCTTATATTTCTTTGCAAAATTGATGGGTATTATAAGTTTAGCTTCATTTTTTTGTTAAATTATTGAATATTAAATATAATATATACTACATAAATTAAAATTATTATTTTATATCAAAATGTATCCTAACGTGTCGAAATCTAATATTTTTTATAATTAATGTGTCGGAGTGTCGTATCGTGTCCCGTGTCAGTGTCGGCGGAACATAGGTGGTCATACTAAAACTTAATTATTAGTTTTACAAAAAAAAACTTAATTATTAGAGCCTCTTTGTACCTTCTTTTTAAGCTAAAAGCTACTTATAAGCTTAAACTAAAAGAAAGAGTTTTAAAAATAAAGCTAAAAATTGTTTGATAATTATATAAAATTTTTAACTTAAAAATAACTTAAAAGCTTTTCATTTCAAAAAAAAAATTCATAAAAGCTTTTACCTTTTGATTTTTTTGTTCATTATAAAAAAAACTATTTTTATTATAAAAGCTTTTGTAAAAATTTGTTTGAATTAACTTATATTTTTAAGAAAAAGAGAAGCTAAAAAAAAATATATCCCAAAGAGACACCTAGGGTGTGCATGACAACATTTCCAGAATCATTTTTTTTTTCAATTTTTATTTCGGGGCAGAAATGGATAAAAACAATATCTGACAAAAATGATTTATTTTTTGTTCTCAAAAATTAATTGAAATACATATTCGAGTAAAGAATCGTCATAAAGAGTAAATTAATTGTTAAGACAATAAATTTTTTATATATAATATTAATTGCATAAAAAAGTCAAATAATGCAATGAATATAGACATAATTATTTGAAAATACATGTAATTTATTATATTTTTTTCATAAATAAAACTAAAAATTTAAGCCGAATGATAAATAAACAGTATCTTGTTTTGAGTTTAGAATAGGATGTGGTATTGTGGTGCATCATTTGATCGTAGTATGGAGAACCAGTCATGGACTATCCAGGATCGTTTCTTCCGCTCTCCAATAAGTAAGGATGATGTGCACATGCAACGACTTTGACACAAATTATTTAGTGAATGAGATGTAGTTTGTATATGGAGAAAAAAAGTGCGCATACATAAAGGTCAAGTTACTAACATGGAGCATGTGAGCCTCTCTTCTTATTGGGTAGGACATAAACCTTTTTAGAAACCTTGTAGTGAAAGCTTTACTTTCATGCAGGGCAATAAGTGACAGCAATGATAAACGTAATTAACCATCGCACACGATGGCATGTAATGCATATGAATCGAGCCTCTTTCTAGGATAGCTATTAGGTGCATCAGTCATTAACGCATGTGTTAAAATCAAGCTTTATAAGCTCTTAAAGATGTAAAAGTAGGTGAAGAATTTGATGTTTGAGAAAATTAGCCATTATAACTTTTCAAAGGTTTGGTAGCCCTTATCCATATTGTAGTCTATTACTGATTTTCAAAAATGTAGTTTTCAACTCCTAAGGAACAAAAAGAATGGACCAAATCAACTTTTTAGATATGGTAACTCATTACAAAATTTTAAAATCTTTTAATTGTATAAATATTATTTGGAAAAAGGTATTCTACCTACCTTTCTTTCTGCCTACCACTCTGCAACACTATTATATTAGAATCTCAATATTTCCCTCTCGTATCGAGATTCACTACTAGAAAATAGCCTTTTTGCGACGGGTATTTTCCATCGCAAAACTGGAAACTTCGATCACAAACACCATTTGCGACTGAAAAAAGCCGTTGATAAAAATCTAATCGCAAACGAATTTTGCGATGGCATTTTCTTGTTATGAATTCCGTCGCAAATTGCGAACGAAAAAATCCATCACAAAACACTTATTTTCCTTCGCAAAATGTTGACATGAATACTGAGAATACCGTCGCAAATTGCAACGGAATTCTCGTCGCAAATTATCCGTCACAGAGTAAATGGGGAAAGAACCCATTGCAAAGTTTGCGATGGAATTATATTACAACACTGTCGCAAATTTGCGATGGAATTTTTGAAAATCCCATCGCAAAATTTGGATGTAATGAAATTCTCGTCGCAAGTAACCATAAGAATTTGCGACGGAAATGTATTACAATACCGTCGCAAAAATTCAGTCCACAAATATACAACGTCTAATACAAAAATCGTCCCAAATTTGTGATGTAATAATGAAAATACCATCACAAATTTTGCAATGGAATGTGAATACCGGCGCAATAATCTGCAAAAATTGCGATGGGATATCCATAAATTTCCATTACAAAATTATAAAAATTAAAAAAAATATTTAAATTAATAAATTTTCAAACCTGTAAACAGTACAACCAAAACAAAAATACTTATATGTCTCATTGAAACAAAATAACTAACTAATTATAATCCATACAAACCAACAAATTATAATCCCATACAAACTAACAAATTATAATCTCATACAAACTAACAAATTATAATCTCATACACACCAACACTATAATTCCATACAAACTAACAAATTATAATCCCAAACAAATTAACATTATAATCTCATATAATTAGAAAAATGTATCAATAAAGGTAGTCATAAACAAAAGTTTTGAATACATCATGAGGTATGGGTATGGGATGAGGATGGGGATGGGGATGGGGATGAGAATGAGGAGTCTACAGTCTGCTTCTTCTTCATCATTTTTTTCTGCTTCTTCTTCTCTCTCTTTTTCTCCATTTTGTTCAGTAATTTCTGCAACAGATTATCCGTCTTTTTCTGTTTCTCCTTTTGTTGCCTTAGCTCGGTGTCCATTTTATCCTTTTCCTGCCTTAGCTCGGCGTCCTTTTTTTCCCTTTGCTCCTTTTGCTGTTGCAATTCGGCGTCCATTTTTTCCCTTTCCTCCTTTTGCTGCTGCAATTCTGCCTCCAATTTAGCAATCACTGCTCACATTCTGGCGAGCTTATATGCAATAATAAGAATATATACTTAGGTCAATTGTTTTGTACTTAATTTAAATGGACTAAGGAGTGAAATTTTGAAACAATTAACTATAAATGCTTTTACCTTCGGAAACACTTGGAAGTTGTATTGAGGGGCGCTTGGTACTCTTCAAGCTGCTAGCAGATGCTCCCAGGCCAAAAATTCATCCCTTTTTATTAAATGGCTCAGTCGCCTTAATGAAGAGTTCATTGCTATCGACCTGAGAGTAGGTGGTTCCATCGTATGTCACCTGTGTTTGTGTCTCCTCCTGGAACTTTTGGAATATCTCCTACAAGCCAAACAAAAAACAAAATATTAATAACCATGACCAAGGGGATTAAACGCTAATAAATCAAACAAAAACGAAGTAACTAATAACTCACCGTTATTTGTCTAGATGTGTTGTTAATCCACCGCCGAGTCCCTGCTTCAGACTTTTGAAATGTAGCAAACTCAACCTTATCTGGGGGCACCTCCCCAGAAGCTTGCTACAAATAAAAATTGGCATCATTAATTAATTACAAGTGCAAAATATAGAATACCGAGATAAAAAATAATGCACACTTACAATTCTTCTCTTATGCACAGTGGCTCCTCAGCAAATGGAGTATCTCCCACACAAGATGAAGGGGACAGATCCTACAAAAGTCAAATAAGTTATCCATTCAAGCAGTTAGTGTCAAAATTATAAATAAAATATTAATATTTAACTTATTCAAATTGGAGTTAGTTTTAACCTGCTCTGGCATTCCCAAAAGTGTAAGAGCAGTGGGAGGAAGACCACTGGGACCCATAACGGAGTCGGTAGTAGAGGGGGAGGATGATAAGTGTGTGGGAGGTTGATGTGCCTCTGGCAAGTATGATTTTCTGTGTTAAAATTGATAAGAATTGAGTCACAAAAGAGCAATTTAATTACATATTTGCTAATTATATTGATTCTTTCTTGTCAATAATATTTCTCACGTCTTGATTGTATTTCCACAGGAAATAGAACTGAAAAGATAAAAAGTTAAATGATGCAACTCATCATATTAGTATCAGTACAATCTCCAGAGAGTTGGCGCAAGTTGACGCCAAAGTGAAGAAATCCCACGCAGAGTTGCGCCGTACTGCACAGGCCAAATGCCAGAGAATTGGCGCTAGTTGGCGCCAGAATGGCGCAAACTAGCGCCACCATGCCACCTTGCGCCGAACTTGA